AGTGCAAAGCCTCGGATGCTTCTCAGCATTATCATTGACAGGAATGAGATACTTTACTCCATGCTATGTGATTTCATTTCTATGCCACTCTGGAAGAGGTGAGACAACAGTGACAGATGCAGGTCAGGTTGCCGAACTCAGGAGCAAGCAGAGGGACCAAGTGCAGGGCGCAAGGGGACGTCTCACAGCTGTGTGGGCACATGTCTGCACATATTTGTCAGCCTCACAATGCTGTGCCACACCCTGACTGGGCTTAAAAAATGGAAAACCTTCCTGTAACTGAGATCAAACTAGCCCTGCAATGGTGCCTCTTCCTAAACAAGGCCTCTGCAGAGCCCTCCCTCAAAGGGTGGACTGGGATGTCAAAGGCAGGGCCCTCCCCACTCAGCAGTACCTGTGCAGGGGAGACGCAAGTCCTGCTCCACACATGCACACAGCCTCCACTTCTGCAATGTGACAATGTAGACATAGGTTGGACACCACTTGGGGCAGGAAGATGGACTACACCAAGCCTGCAGACAGGGGCTGCTGACTGATTCCAAGGCAGGGAGGACTCTAGGACCCACTGCTCTTTGTGCAGTCACTCCTCCTGCAGGTGGAAGAACCCTCTTCTAGGATCACATTCTAGAACCATTTGCAGCTGGGAACTGCTTACCTCCTGCCCTGGGTGCAGGGAGAGTCTATGGAAACAAGATGTCTGTGTCTCAGTGTCATGGCTCCCCTACCACCTGTGCAGCGTGGCATTAATGGCTTCACCTCCTTGTGCCTACTTCATGGGGGTGGTGGTGAGGGCATTTAAAATACACCTGAATACAGGCCAGGTATGGTGGTAGACACCTGTAATCCCAGCTACTCCAGAAGCTGACTCAAGTGGACCATAAATTTGAGGCCAGCCAGCATTACATAGCAAAACCCTATCTCAAAAAGCAGAGCAAAACAAAACAAACAACTGAATTCAGGTTTGCTGTGTCCAGTGAACCCTACCACACTATTGTGATGCCACAGCGGCACTTGCTTGCCCCTCTAAGGCAGCCTTGGTCTGTGTGCTCACCATGAACTGTTTTGCAGGCAGGTTGGGGGAGGGTTATAAGCATCTGTTCCGGTCAAGACAACTCTAGGGCCGGGCGCCAGTGGCTTACGCCTGTAATCCTAGCTACTCAGGAAGCAGAGATCAGTAGGATCGAGGTTCAAAGCCAGCCTGGGCAAGTAGTTTGCAAGACCCTATCTCAAAAAAACCCATCACAGAAAAGGGCTGGTGGAGTGGCTCAAGGTGTAAGCTCTGAGTTCAAGCCCCAGTACTGCAAAAAACAAAAAAAGACAACATTAGAAATCACTACTCTGCCAATTTCAGCTGCGACCCTGGGCAAGGTACGTAATCTCTTTGAACCTCAGGCTTTCTTATCAGTGAAGCAGGAGCTGTCTCTGGTAACAAACCCTCTTTCACCAGGCAGCAGTCCTGGCTGCCCCTACCTGAGAGTGAGATCCCTTCTGCGAGGCCGTATGGCAGGTAGGCAAAAATGATCATCATGCCGAACTCCAGGGAGGGCGTCTTCCTCAGGTCGATGTGCTTCAGTACGTGAACACAGCCGTTAAGGAAAAGGACCGGGGGCCACGAGGGCCCTGGATGGAAACACAGAGCACAAAGCTGCTGCCTTCCTAACTGTACAGTGAGCAAGGAGTTGAGGAGATGGGTAGCTTCCCAAGCTTGTGAGTGTGGATTTTTTTCCTCTGTAGAGAGACAGTTATTATAAAATGGGACTCTGACAAAACATTGAGGAGTATAAATTCCTAAGACAAATGTCAAGAGAAAATTAAAATCAGCCCAAGCCAACTTCTTTAAAAATGCCAGCTTAGAGTTGGGCCTGTACTCCTAGCTACTCAGGGGGCAGAGATCAGGAGGATCAAGGTTTGAAGCCTCAATAAGGTTCACAAGACCCGATCTCAAAACAACAACAACAAAAAAAACCTTCACAAAAAAGGGCTGGTGGAGTGGCTCAAGGTGTAGTTTAAATCCCAGTATTGCAAAATAAATGAATAAAAATGCTGACTTAGAGGGCTGGGCTGCAGACACACTGAGGACAGCCCACATCGTCAGGCCGCTCCCTACCCCTCCACCCGTGTGCATCCACCAGCCTGGTCTCCAGGGACTCAAGGCCCTGGCGAAGGCCTGTCTTTCCTCCAAGCTCTAATCCCTGTGAGAGGAGAGTCTACACACACTCAGACACTGCTCGCTTCCCAGGCCCAGACCACAGCTCTGAGTCCCCAGTCATGGCTGCATTACAATATGTGCTTTCTTAAAGAAAAAGATAAATACGGGGGCAAATACTGAACTAGAAGGTTCTTCGTTGCCATTCTGTTTACTGGTACCATATGAAAATCTGTCAGCCAACTCAATAAGCCTTTAGATTGTGGTCAAGGAGCCCATGTGAAAATCCAGCAGAATAGCAGAGAAACACCATGGAGCCCAGACATCTGTGAAGGATAGGCGGCCATTGCCGGGGACATAGGCTTAGGTACTACAGAAATGCTGTAGAGCCCAATCCTAGTTTAGGCATGATGGTTTTTCACTACTGCGTAACAGGTCTCCTTCTCTGGTTAGAGAAGCTTCTGGGCTGTCAAGCAACAAAATCAGGGCAGAGAACCTTCACAGTGGTAGCTCTGAGCGCCCCTTTTCCAACCGCTCCAGATGATCACCTTCAAGGGGAAAGAAAGACGCTCTTAATTTCCCATTCTCCAAGAAAATTAATTTCTGATTTCCTAAAGGTAACAACTGAAGCGGTGGGAAAGGAAAGCCAAGTGGATGTGGTTATTGTCCTCTGGGAATGGAGGAGCCCCCCAAAGTCATAACTGACACCCGACAGTGTGCATGACATCCTACACTTCATATGTTACATTTAAAAATCCTTGAGTTTAAATTAGAGTTTCTCAAACCAGAACTCAACATAAAATTTTTTTTTAAACAAAACCTTAGATTAAAATTGGCTCCTTAAGGAATGGGAGAAAATACCGAGCAAGAGGTGCAATCAAGAGCCTCTCCCCCGCTCTGCACGCTCATGTCTTAAAAGGATATTAACGCAGAAATTAAGCCAGTGAGAGTGCCGAGCGCTGCGGAGCCAAGGAACTGCATTAGTTCTTGGGGCTCAGAGGTGAGGGCAAAGGACTTGCCCCAGTCTAAGGAGGGAGCCAACAAGATGAGAAGGAAGGACAACCCGGGGGGAGGGTACAGGGCTGTACTAAAAGAATGGGCATCCAACTCAGACTGGTGGGAGCAAAGAAGGTTCTTGAGGCAATGTGAGCTGGGTTTCCACCTAGGATAAAGAACAGGTCAGAAGAACGAAATGTTATCATTCGCTGGTAAATGGATGGAATTGGAGAACATCATTCTGAGTGAGGTTAGCCTGGCCCAAAAGACCAAAAATCGTATGTTCTCCCTCATATGTGGACATTAGATCAAGGGCAAACACAACAAGGGGACTGGACTATGAGCACATGAAAAAAGCGAGAGCACACAAGGAAGGGAGGATAGGTAAGACACCTAAAAAATTAGCTAGCATTTGTTGCCCTTAACGCAGAGAAACTAAAGCAGATACCTTAAAAGCAACTGAGGCCAATAGGAAAAGGGAACAGGAACTAGAGAAAAGGTTAGATCAAAAAGAATTAACCTAAAGACCAAAAAATCGTAATGTTCTCCTCATATGTGGACATTAGGATCAAGGGCAAAACACAACAAGGGACTGGACTATGAGCACATGAAAAAAAGCGAGAGCACACAAGGAAGGGAGGATAGGTAAGACACCTAAAAAATTAGCTAGCATTTGTTTGCCCTTAACGCAGAGAGAAACTAAAGCAGATACCTTAAAAGCAACTGAGGCCAATAGGAAAAGGGGAACAGGAACTAGAGAAAAGGTTAGATCAAAAAGAATAAACTAGAAGGTAAACCCATGCACAGGAAATCAATGTGAGTCAATGCCCTGTATAGCTAATCCTTTTATCTCAACCAGCAAAAACCCTTGTTCCTTCCTATTATGCTTATTACTCTCTCTACAACAAAATTAGAAATAAGGGCAAATAGTTTCTGCTGGTATTGAGGGGTGGGGGGAGAGGGAGGGGGCGGAGTGGGTGGTAAGGGAGGGGGTGGGGCAGGGGGGAGAAATGAACCAAGCCTTGTATGCACATATGAATAATTAAAAAAAAAAAAGAAAGAACAGATCAGCCAGGAATTAGTAGCTCACACTTACAATGTCAACTACTCAGGAGGCAGCAATTAGGAGGATCGGTGTTTAAACCAGCCCCAGCAAACAGTTCTTGAGACCCTAATCTCAAAAATACCCAACATGAAAAGGGACTGAAGGAGTGGCTAAAGTGGTAGAGCACCTGCTAAGCAGGAGAGAGTCCCTGAGTTCAAATCCCAGTACCACCAGGAAAAAAAAAAAAAAAAAAAAGCAGAGGTCATCAGGTGAAGAGGAAAGCAAGCTGGCAGAGAGCCCAGGCCCATGGAGCACTCTGTAGGAAGGATCAAGGGCACGGATCAGTGTCATTAAAAACATGACAATGGGATCTGGTGGGTAGAGGAGAGGACAGTGGCAGGAGATGGGTAGGAGCAGCAGGTTGTGGCAGGGCCGGTGAAAGGCCCTGTTGGTATTTCACCCTGAGGATGGGTTGTCAATGTGAAGTGTTCACCATAAAACCTGAAACTAAATCTTTGGCAAGAAATCAGGTTGGAATGGAGATGCCCAGAAACAAAATGTCTGAGGTTCCAGGATAAGAGGAAGAACTTGGAGATAGTGAGGAGGAGGAACTGAAAGAACTTTCACTCTAATAGCAAAGTAAAATGTCAGAAGCCTTCAATTCAATTGTTGGTTTTTTCCCCAAAGGGAAAAGCTCCATGCCATGAACTGGGGCTGTTCTCATTAAATATCAGCCTCTCGAATCCCTTCACTCCCCACCACCCCCAACACACACTTGTCCTCCAAGAGCCAGGCCCCCAGATCTCTCTATGGACATCAGGATCTTCCTGCAGACCAGCACTCAGCAGCCTGGGTGAGCCCTTTAAAAGGCACAGCTGAGGGGTTACCACCCTGCCTAACATTCCTCAGCAGTTACACAATGCTTTTAGAAGCCCATTGTTCTCAGTATGACTAGGTTTTTCTGACCTCCCTGAGCACATCTCCTCTCCATTTATGGTGGCCCATCCTGTAACTGGCACTTCCCTGGGGAAGGTCATCCTCCCCTTCCCCAACCCCAGCTAAGGTCCCCACTTGTCCCTCAGGACCCAAGGTCAATGCCACTGGCACAGGACACCTGCCTTGCCCCTCCATACAGGCCAGGCCATTTATAGGTCCACATGGGTCGGACTTCTTCACAGTGTGTGAAAACTGCAGTGAGTCTCCATGAGGACCAAGCCTGTGTCCACCTGTTCACTGACATAGATCAAGGGCGCACAGCTTAGCTCAGCACACAAAAGACACACAAAACATTTTTGCTGAACTTGTGAGTAAAACTGAGAATGGCCAGTTACAACGTTCAGCATGATTACTGACACTCACTTGAGAGGAGAGTGATCCCTGATAAAGGGCTGCTTGTCACATGATCCAGGAGTCCTGCCCTGGACACTCACCGCACAGAATGAGAGGCCTTGCAAAAAAGAAATTTGTCCTCCCTCAGGCTCTCCTGAGCATACCATCTCCTTACCCCTTCTGTCCATGCAAGTCACCAACAAGGTCTCTCATTGGAGAAGTGCTTTTGAAGGCCATGACCACCCAGTTTTCCACATGGACCCAGACCATGTGCACACGCACTGCTGCTCCCACCCTCTTCGCCCCTGGCCAAGCCAGGCTGAGCCCACTGCTTTCTTTTTATACTGAGAAGGCAGAGGGTCAAAGATAACTAGACTGAGGGCTGGCCAATGGTTTCTGAACTCCAGATAAATGAAAGGTGACTTCAGGCTCCTCCTGGCCTAGCAGTTTGTGCATGTCATCTCTCATGGCCATGCCTCTCACACAAGGCACAGGACAATGCTACTTGAGGGTCCATTCATGCACTTAAGCAGTAACTGGAGAAAGCAAAAGGCTTCCTCCACAGCAATTAGTATAATAATACATTGTCATAGTAACGAATTAAAGCTAAAAGTAATTTTAAGTTATCGAAGAAACAGAAGATGCCCTGCTTTCTGGCACTTGTGAAGGTGACATTTTAAAAGGGGTCATCAATTCACACATTTGGTTGCCAAGGTGAAGGTGTCAGATCACTTTGGAAATGAGCGTTTATGAAGTATCCCTCTTAGCAACAAGATGCGATTCCACCTTGTAAGCCAGAAAAGGTGACAACAGCTCCCAGAAGCTGAGGTTTTGGTAGTCAAACAACAATGAAAAGGGGACAGGTCTACCATGCCCCCTCCTCCTGCTTCTGTCTCAGCACTCCCATCAGACTTCAAGACCTGGCCCGTAAGACACTGTGACTGAGAAGCCTCCTGGGATCCTTTCCATCCACCATGTCTCCCTCACTTGTCTAAGAGTAGTTTTTGCTGACAGTTTATCACATTCAACTGGTCTCTGAGCATTGTCTGGCACACAGAAGGCCCCAGCCAAAGGCAGCGAGAGGCCAGACGACAGGCTGTCAGCACCTCTGCAGACCATGAAATTGTGTCTCCTTAGCCAGCCTGTATCTCCACAGTAGTGAGGATGGAGGAAGAGGAGGCTGGAAACTCCACATGCACGCAGTCCACAGATCATCTGTGGAAAGGGCCATTATGGTGACCTTGGCCTTCGAAGGCACTTGCCAGTGAGAACCTTTCTCCACACACAGTGGTGCATCTTCTCTCAATTTTTCAAGTGTCCCCTAATCTTTGGCCTTTCTGCAGCAAAGAGACCTGGGAAGTCTGGAAAAGGCCCTATCTGTGATGAATTTCTTTTTCTTTAAATAAATCAGGCACAAAGCAATTGAATTTAGCTCCCAATGTATAAAAATAACTCATGATGTCGCCTCCATGTTGGGCAAAATTTCTTATCACAAATGTTCAATAGATGTACCAGGATATGAGATGTAAGTAAAACTCAGAAAGCTAAGCAGCTTTCAGAATATATCTTAGATAAGAAAAACGTCATCCGATTTTTAAAGGTCTTGCAGTATGATACATGATAATTTTATAATGAAGCTAAAGAAATTTCTATCAAGAGAAACCTTTACAGCCAGTAAGAGGGTGGGCACCAGTAGCTCACACCTGTAATCCTAGTTACTCAGGAGGCAGAGATCAAGAGGATCGTGGTTCAAAGCCAGCCTGGGCAAATAGTGTCCGAGACCCTACCTCAAAAAAACCCATCACAAAAAAGGGCTGGTAGTGACTCAAAGTATAGACCTTGAGTTCAAACCCCAGCATCACCAAATAAATAAATAAAGCCAGTAAGAGGGAATTGGTTAAATATACCATAGCAAATCCAAAGAAAGCAGCAATCTGTAAAATTACGCTATAGAAGATTATTTTATTAACTCTGTTCAAAGGGAAAGTGGTAATATAGCATTTGGGGTACAAGTCCATTGAAATAAGATATATATATATATATATATATATATATATATAGTTGCACCAAATTCTTATCTTAGGATAGTAAAGATATATACAGTTTTTCTTTCTTTTCTTTTTTTTTGGGGGGGCTGTACTGGGGCTTGAACTCAGGGTCTCACACTTGCTAGGCAGGTGCTCTACCACTTGAGCTACTCGGCCAGCCATGCTTTGCAATCCTCCTTATCTCTGCCTCCCAAGTAGCTAGGATTACATGTGTGAGCTACCATTGTGCCCAGCCTTTTCTTTCTTTTTTGCTTAAATATTTTCTAAATTTTATATGAGGAGTATATGTATTACCTTTAGAAAAACAGAAATATTCTAAAGTTTGGGTTTCTTTTTTGGTGGTCTGAGCTCAGGGCCTTGCACTTGGCCAGGCAGGCAATTTATTACTTGAGTCACACCCCTACTCCTGTTTTGTTTTAGTTATTTTTCAGATAGGGTCTTGAGCCTCAATCCTCCTATCTCTTCTGCTGAGATTACAGGTTTATACCACCACTCCTTGCTTATTTGTTGAGAAGAATTTTGCTAACTTTTTGCCTGGACTGGGCTCCAACCAAGATCCTGAGCTTTGCCTCTGGAGTAGATGGGATTACAGACATCAGCTTCTGTGCCTGACTGGGTTTCATTTTTTTAGGTCTGGGGAGTACTTCTTGCAATTAAACAGTACTTGGTAAGCTCTGCCTACAGAGACATGGCCAAAATAGGGAAAAAGCGGAGTGACCCAGTGAGAGGAGCTGGGGAGGAAGGGTGTGGCACTTACGGAGTCAGGTATCTCTCAAGTGGGGTCCTATGTAAGCATTCAGTCCTCAGTCCAAGCCTGGGCTGAGGCACTGCCACCTCACTTTACGGCTGAGGAGCAATAGCTCAGAGAGGCAGCTGTTGCCCTGGAGCCATACAGCTGAGAACGTCAGTAGGACTTGAACCCAGCTCAGCCTGACTTCAAAGTCTGGGCTCTAGGCACAGCAGAACACTATTTTATTCCAATATAAGAATTCTGGCATTTTTATTATTCATCTTTAATTTCTCAGATCTTAGCAGGGCATTTGAAGAAGATTTGCGGCTTCCAATATGGCTTTTGCAAATAGCATCTTCAGGCGATTAGTATTCTACTATTTTACAGCTGTGCACCAGCTAGGAAGTGGAAGAGTAAGGCCTGCCCATGCTCTTTCTTTTTGCCATGTAGGGATGGAACCCAGGGCCTCACACATGCTCGACCACTGCTCTACCACTGAGCTATACCCTGCACTGTGTTTCCTGCTTTTGTCTTTAACAATGCTGCCCCAACAAGGACTCCTCGGTGGGTGCTGTAGCATCAACTGGGGAAAGAATTAAGAACACAGAACTCGCCCAGGCCAATTGCATATGACAAGCAGCTGGAGGGATGCTGAGGCAAAGACAACTGGGAAACACAGCTATAAGAAGGTATAACAAGAGAGGCGAGCCTTCCTCTCCTCACCCTGTCCAACATGGTCTGGTGGCACAGTGGGCTGGCTTGTCAGTGCAGGGAAGGCAGCAGTGAGCCAGCGCAGAGGATGAGCCACTGCCCAGGCAGCATTCCTGGAGCTCTGGCTCTCACCCCCACTTACTTGGTCAGGACAATGGAGACTGCGTCATTGAGAATACTTTCTCCAAACACCAGCATGTTGAGCACTGGGTCCACGTGCAGTGCATTGAAAATTGCAATGGTGGCCACTGGGTCCACGGCAGATATCAGGGAGCCAAATGCAAAACTGGAAGGAGAGAAAGGCAGGGCAGCATGTGTGATGTGTACAGCTTGCGCTGCCATAGCTGTAAAGCACGCCAGTCGACTACCGTGCTCCCCAACAGGCTGGCGGCTGAAGCAATTCCCCATGGATCTATTGCCCAACAGGAAAGGCCTACTCTAGGAGTTGCTATGCACAATCTATTTCCCACCGGCAGCACCAAGAATACTTTGACCAATGATGGATGGAAGACTTTTGCCTCAATACACCACACACTTGCCAGCCTTCTTAGAGCAGTTGAAGTTCAACAGCCTTTGAACTGCTGGGTCTGACCTCTGCTCTGCCCTCTGCCACCAGGCTGTCAGAGTGCCACCTGCAACTAACCCCAGATTTGCAACACCTAAAGAAGTGCCAAAAGTCAGAAGCATCTCCTGCATGTCTCAGGGCATGAGTGCCAAGGACAGGAGGCACTAGCACCAGCTGGCTCCCAGCCAGGCCCTCGGGCCTCTCCAATCACCTCCAACAAGCACGGGCCGGCTGCCTACTGCTTCACCCCGCGGCTAAGCCTAATAGCAGACATCTCTATGCACTTTCCACGTGCCAGGCTCTGGCCCACGCTTTACACAGTACCTCAGTCACCCACGCAGCTTGTGGAGACAGCACGGCTGCTGCCCTCATTCACAGTCTGTCAGCTAACAGGTGGCAGACAGATAGACAGTTATCTGTCTCAGAGCTAGTGCTCCTGCCCACTAGGGTGAATCTGGTAACAGCCAGAGACTAAGCCAAACTTAGAGAATGGCAAGTGCGACACGTGAAAGCAATGAGGTGACCTGAGAAAGAATAACCTGGTGGAGGGAAATGTGTGTGGGCTCATTTGAGAGGTCAGGAAAGATCTCTCTGAAGAGATGACACATATTTGAGTGAGGGCCTACATGACAAGCAGCAGCACTGGGAATACAACAGTGGTGACAGCCAGTGTTCCTGAGGTAGGAGCAAGCTTGGCTGCCTGAAAAACAAAATGAAGGTGCTTGGGGCAGGGTGGGATGGGCACACGTTAGGAGACATTGGAGGCCTATTTGCTAAGCAGACGCAGATCGCCTGTGGGCCTGTGGGCCACAAGAAGGCTCTGAGTGATTTATTTCAGGCTCCTGTTGCCTTCTCTAAGTCAGTGGACTTGGCAGGCCTCCTGTCAACTGCTGTGCCAGCTACTTTCTGCCTCAGCAGAAGGGTCAAACCTGGCCCCTTCCACTCATGGGCAAACATGAAGCTTCAGAACACAGCATCAGTCAGAAGCCAGAGGATATCCTGGCCTGTGGCAGAGAGTGGGTCCGACAACTCAGCTGTACCAAGCAGCACTGGGAGAGAAGACCTGGCCAGAGGAAGGGCCTGCTGCCTACTCAGCCACACTTCCCTTCACAGATTGGTAATGCGACCTTGGGTTTCCATGGCAGCTCCCTAGTGAGTGGTGGACATGAGCAAGGTCCCACTGGATGGCCTCCTTTCAGACCTCAGTCCCAGACCCTGCCTGTCCTTTGTCGCAACTATACACATGTCAACTCCGGGGTAGACACTGTTTTTGCCATGGGTATCTCCTCAGGACCTCTGCAGAGCCCAGCCTGAGACACTGCAGGAGGGAAAGAGAAGAACAGGCTGGGAAGGGGAGAGAGGTAAGGAGTGGGAATCTCTGTTTGGTTGGCATGGTCCTCGGGTGCCACACTGCAACCCAGACCCAGAGCTGGCCTTGCCTTCATTCTCACCCTCGTTACCCACAGCAATGTCACAAAGGGTCATGAGGGAAGAACAACACCTCAACAGTGCATCCTCAAGGGGCAGGAGGATGCAGGTGGACTGCAGATTGCAGGCCTCTCCTTCACTCCTAGGCAGAGTGCAGTGGGCAGACAGCCACGGTTCTTCCAACATGGCACTCACACCCCGCTGCTCTTGGGAACAGCACCCCAATTTTCTCTGGGGCCAGTTCCTCCTACTCTCCATCCTTGTCTTCACGTGGGGCTCTACTCATGAGCTCAGGGCCCAATCTTGGGCAGTAAGGGACCTCACCCATGCTGTATCAGGTCATTGGGAATAGGCTGGCCCGGCAAGGAGGGCTGAGGTGAGGTGAAGTGAGCTGGGGCCTTCAATGCTGCCTCCTGGAGCAACGGCTGGGCTGAGCCCCAGTAAACACCATGGGCCTCTCAGGGTGACACCACGGCCCTGGGGGCAATTCAGTCATTTTTTTGCTTATACTGGTTTGTGTTTGGTTTGAGCTATACTGAAAGAAGCCTGGCTAAAGTACTTTGTCACAGTTGCTGTGCCGTCCTGGGGCAGAAATCAAAGATCAGGAACCATAAGGGAACTGATGGCCTGGACAGAGGGCTGGCTGGAGAAGCACATGCTAGAGTACATACAGCAGAATGGTGATCCAGGAGGCAGCAGAGGGCATTCACTGAGTGGCGTCTCACCCTGTCTATTGCCTGAAACTTTTCATAACACTGAGTGGGAGGGAATGCTTTGTGTAAATTATACAACACATTTAGCTCTGGCTGGGATCTAGGGCAGAGTGTTTCTGACTGTGAACAGGAAAGGCCTGACGTGTGAACGTCCCAAGTCCTTGAGAAGCCTGTGTTTCAAGTCATTTGCTGGCCAGCAGGGGCTCCACCTCGTATCTTCATGAAGCAGTCTCTTAAAAGACCAGCAGCCACAGGTTCCACTTGAAAACCTGCTAGCTTTATTCCATCACCTCAAAAGCTAGTGACACCAGCACATTGATGACCTGCTGGCATTCAGGGTACCCTCTCTCCAGTATAGTATCACTACAGCAAAGCCTGTGCCACAGGGTTGTGTCTGTGTTTTCTACAGTGCACAGCTGATACAAGGTAGTCTGGTTCTCATATTTGGCCTGCACAATATTTTTGAAAAATGGTGTAAGTGGTCAACATTTAAAAACTAGAAAATTTCCTATAAACATCTAGAAAGCTGGGCTCTTAAAAAATTTTTAAAAATTCCAAGTATCTTGCAATGGTGGGCCACATGTCCACATGGCAATTAGGAGGGGCAGCTGAGGAGCACTGACCCCTTCAGACAGGCACGCTTGCCTGTGGCCACTGTTCCACCAGGGCCCTACACCTGGCAACCTCCTTCTGGTCAGGGCTCTGCTGCCCTGTTGCTGTGAGGGTCTGCAGCCACAGCAGGCCCATCCAAGGGGACAGTCTCTTTCTAACAGGAAGGAAGCAACGGCACAGAGTGAGATAAATACCGCCCTGATCTCCTGACCTCCCCCACTCTTTGATGGCAATTCTTCCACCAGAATTTCCCAGCCCTGCTTCAATCAATTTTACAAAACATACCCAGCACCAGCTGCACCTCTAGCTTAGTTGCCCCCCAAACAGGCTGAAGTTTGGAAGCTGTGACACCTTCCTTTACGTCGATGGGGTTGCAGGCATTTCTTTTCACTCACAGAACACCTCGGAAACACCAGGACCAGCTCTGCCTGGTCTCTAGTTCCCATGGACTAGAAATGTGACTTTGGCTACTTATTTATACAACAAAGCTTTTTCACAACAAGACTTCCAAAATTCATGTCTCAGGCAGGGGTGGGGGATGGCTGGGATGGGAATGGGCTCAGGCTTGCTTCCCATGGAAAGGGCTAAGGTTCTAGTCCCAAAGTGCTAGGCTGCTACACAGAACACTGGAGACTGAGGCGTGAGAAAAGAGATCAAAGTCAGCCTAGGCTGCATAAGGAGACCCTGGCTCAAAAAAAAAAAAAGGGCAAAACAAAAGCAACAAACAAGCCAGGAACTGGTGGCTCACACCTATAATCCTAGCTACTCAGGAGGCAGAGAGCAGGAGGATCAAGTTTCAAAGCCAACCCGAGGCAAACAGCTCAAGAGACCCTATCTCAAAAATATCCAACACAAAAAAGGGCTGGCGGACTGGCTCAAGCAGTAGAGTGCCTGTCTAACAAGCATGAGGCCCTGAGTTCAAACCCAACTACCCTGCAGGATGGACCTGGGACATACGTTAACACTTGGCTCCTCAGCCATGCCACGAGGCCACACCAGGCATTGAAGGTGGACGCAGGAGCACCAGCAAGGCTGCACACTCTTGGACTTCCCAGAGAGGGAACACCAGGCTGCACTGGGCTTGGGCCCTTTACAACCCTAGACGTGGTACTTTCTGAGACAGCTGCCCAAGCTGCTTCTCACTGAGCATTCAGAAAGTTCCCAGACTGGCTCCTAGACAGCAGCACATGGCCAGTGATCACCTGCGCGGCTTCAGATCTAGAGGCCACACCCGCAGGGCCCAGGGACCTTCTCTCCTCACTCCCCACCCCAAGCCCCCATCTGTCAAGAGAAGACTTAGAAATCGGTTGAAGCTGATGCTCAATAAAAAGGACCGGGTGCAGTGTATGTGGTGTGTATATGGGTGGAGTTATTCCCTCCGAACCTTAAGTGGAATTAACCTTTTCAAATCAGCAATGCTCTGACTAGGGATCTTCAAAAGTCCTTGGTATAATTTTGATTCATTTCAGAGACAAATTAATTTAGAACAGATTCTACAGCAGAAACATGGGCAAGCATGGGGGGGGGCGGGGAACAGGAGGGGGACCACACCCAGGAAGTAATGTGGAGAAAAGGTCCCCAGCTGACAGCAGTCCCATGGGCATTACAGTGTGAAAGATTTACCTGTCTGTCATGTTGAGTTTAGAGATTACATCAGCCTGTAAAATAAAACACACAAACACACAGACACAAAAACAATCCCTGGAGAACAGCCACGAAGATTAAAATGTCCATTAGTCCTTCACTACCAACTAATGAGGACATGTAATCTTCAGTTCCCAAACCACTGGAAAACTCAAGGCAACACCTGAGTTTTCGAGTTAGCATGCATTTGGCCATGATCCGGTCAGGTAAGGAGCAGAATGCTCCATTGTTCAAGCCCAGTGACTGCAGTCTCTTCTCCAAAGTGTATTCCCCTTTGACACTAGAGGCTAAGCAATGAATAAAGATTCATTCATGACAGAGATCTGTTCTGGTGCTGTCAAGGCAGCACTAAGGGTTAAAGCCAGGCAGAATGGGCTCCGGCTATTGAGAGAAGAAAGCAGCCAACACACAAAGAAAAATCTGCCCATCACCTGGATACCTGATGTCAACCTGGCTTTTAGCACCAGGGCAGGCGAACTTTCTGCAACTGACAATACAGTAAAAGAGTGGGCCAGGCATGGACATGCAAGATCCAAATCTAGACTCCACCTTCCTAGGTTTAGTCTAAGTTAATGCAAATTTACCAAAGCCCAAAGGCAGAGCACCCTGCTGGTGCCACTGCAAAGTGCTTTCTCACGGTGGAAAACCCAGAATATCTAATTCTACAGGTGGACAACCTGGAACTGGGCAAACACTTTCAAAAACACCTTTGATTTAAAATGCAAATTTGTATTAAAGAACAACCTTTAACTCCAATTTGGTCTGCCCAACAACACAAGTGACCAGCGATGGTTTGAAAGTTGCGGTGTGTATGCTCTCCGTTGTTTTTAGGTCTTCCCACTTAAGCCAGGATTGGTTTTCAAATAAAATGAAATGTTTGTGGGATTGGGGAGAAGATTCACTCAGTTCCAGGTACCAAAGTCCTCAGGGACACAAGAGATCTTCAGTCTTTGAAAGACATTTTCCTTACCTGACCCAGGAAATAAATTCCTCCACCTACTACAAAAGCAGAGATGGCTGTACCAAAAACAGCAAACAGAGTGATGGACCCGATATTCTGAAAGAAGTTACCCTGTAGAAAAGAGCAGATAGCAAAGACAATGAGAGGAGTGGCCCGTCAGCTGATCCTCACAAAGGGTAGGGCACTGTGGCTTGCTGGAGGCCTGAGTGTTCCTCCACCCCACACCTACTCACCCAGACCACTGTAATCGCTTCCCACCTGTCTCCTTAGGGTCCCAGCCCTTTCCCTTCTCTCTCTAATGCTCCCAAAATGTATTTTGCAAAATACAAACCTACCAATGTTGGAAATACAGGTAACATCCCACCCTGGCTGGACCCTGGGAAGGTCTCAGCTCATCTGACACCATGCTGCTCATTCTTCGAGTTCCAGTCACATGGGCACATCATGGTCCCTCTCTGCACAGAGAACTTTTATCATCCTAAGACCTACAGCCACTTCCACTCTTCCCTGGTCCCAAAGCCAGCAACCAGGTGGGGTTCTACTCTGTGCTCTCACACCACAGCTGTAGCTCTACATATTAGAAGACAATGACACCCGCCTTTCCCATGAGGGAAAGGCTCACTGGGGACAATGGCATTGTTTCTGCACAACAGCCACTGACACAGTGCCTGTCAGATGGAAGATGCTAATGCCCAGCTACTGAAGGAATCACCTGTGTTTCATAAACAAGGTCCAAAAATCTACACAGTTATGGTTTTTCATTTAATTAAGAAATAGTGCCATATTATAAGAATAACAAGACAGCCTGGCACAATGGCTCATGCCTGTAATCCTTGGGAGGTTGAGATTGTAAAGATCCAGGTTAGAGGTCAGCCTGGGCAAATAGTTAATGAGACACTGCTCCCCCCTCCACGCCATCTCCAAAATAACCAGAGCAAAATGGACTGCAGGTATGACTCAAGTGGTTGAGTGCCTGCTTTGCAACATGAAACCCTGAGTTCAAATCTCAGTCCCACCAAAAAAAAAAAGAAAGAAAAAAGAAAAATCAAGATAGTAGGTCATATTACCAGAAACTCCTTTTTGCTGTCCAGATCTTTTAAAGGATTACATCTCACTCAATGGGTACCCTCAAATAATATGACAGATACAATGTTTCCTTCCATGTATCCTTCACACTATTTAAGAGAAAACATCTGAATCCCAGAGGCATGAAAACACCTTCCAAATTTCCACAGTATTAAGGAAATAGTCTGCTGGTTAGAATCCTGTGGACTCCCCTTAGGAACCATCACCAAAGGACCTAGATAACCCTGGATTGTTGGTGTGGATGAGAATCCTGTGTTTTGCTCAGAAATTGTCAGGCCACAGACACCAGGAGCCACTGGGTCAAAGCTCACTTCAAACGAGTGTCCTGAGTGCCACACACTGTCCCACAGAGCACGTCGCAAGTCCCCTCAGGAAGCTGCACTGCAAAGTGGCTGGCCACCAACATGTGAAAGAACTTATCTGGCAGCCTGTGGTCTCTCATTCGATCCTGTGTTTGGTTTATCAATCTCTAGTGCGCGGTTGAAAATAACTCGAGGCAAACACAGTGATTTGTTTTTCTAAACAAAGAACTTTCATCTAGTGAGTTTTCTCTGCAAAAACTGCTTTATTTTTTATTTTAAAAACAGACTTGACTAATCACTCTTGGTCTGTTTATAGGGATCAAATTCTGATATGATTTACATAGTTGGCTAATATTACTCTGGATACTGAAAATTTACCCAAATTCACGTCACCCTGCTAAAAGACTTATCCCTCTGCTATATAAAGTTGATTTATCTGCTTCTCTCTGACATAATTAACAGGACTAGTAGTTCATGTCAACTGATAATTTTTTTTTGTTTTTTTGTGGGACTGGCGTTTGAATTCAAGGCTTTGCATTTGCAAAGCAGGTGCTCTACTACTTGAGTCACTCCTCCAGTCCATTTTCCTCTGGTTATTTTGGAAATGGGGTCTCCAGAACTATTTGTTAGGCTGGCCTCTGCTCTCGATCCTCCCGATCTCAGCCTCTAAGTAGCTAGGATTGCAGGTACGAGTCACTGGCACCTGGCCAAGCTGATGATAATCTTATGTGTTCCAAGTGCAAACTTACATTGGTAAATACAGCAATACTGAAATGAAACACTCAAGGTCAATCCTGACTTCTTGGAGGCAGGGAGTGGACAACAGCTTCTGCACTGGAATTCCCAACACATAAATCCCTTTCATGAAACTCACATTTCCTGATGGAAAGTCATTCTCAAAGGAGTGTTTTTCTAAGAAACTACAATCTTCCTCAATTTTGAACAAGTTTATCTTCCCACCTTCAGAAAAAAATTAGGAAGTAAAAACTTTACAGTTCTAACATTCAAAATGACATGTTCTCAAATCAAAATGAAACCAGTTTCCTCGGTACTGTTCTGAAATATTTTCATACTCTGCTCACAGTTCTTTGCAGAGGCATTGACCCTCAAGTTCTCTTTGTTTCCTTGCATTTAGTAATTCTCTGATGTTGGTAATGGGTCAGAAGACTGGGATCTTTTTTCCACATTAACCTTGCTTTTTCCTTTTTCCTTGGATGAACGCAACTTTTTAAAAAATCTACACTGAACATGTTAGGCTATTTTTGGTAGAAATAAAAGGTTTGATGTGTATGTTTTTACCGAAGCCGTCTGGATGACTTCAACTATTTAGTGCTATCATCGTTGCTCTAATGGTAACATTAACAAGTACCAGATAAAACAACAGGGTCGTCATCAGCAGCAAGCTGCGAGTATTCATTCGTCTAGGTAAATCTCCAAGCAACATAGGAAGTATGGTTTGGAGTTTTTGAGGTTTTGTTTTTAATTTTTATCTACCCCCAGGAGCCTGTAGGGGGCACCACATGATCAGACCCTTAGTCCTCTCGGCATCACGATTTCAAAAAATCACATTCACAAAATATCAAGACCTATTGTTACTTTTAAGTTAAATCAATTTATTTCAAAAGTGAAATGCCTCTCTATTTAAAGAACACATGCATAGGAGGGAAACTGAAGGCACACACAAGCTGGCTTCAAAGCAGAAGCTCTGGCCTCGGCAGGAAGCTTGCCCCTGGGGCTGGTGGTAAAGACCAGTAATGCCAGGGAAAAGCAGAGCCTGCATGGGGCTCTGATGCTGCTGACCCTCCAACTAGGAGGCAGGAACGGGAAAAGCAACTGTGGGATGAATGAATGGCCAGAGGAATTAGAAGACAAGCTAGATGAGGCTGGGATCCTGGTCTGGTGAGGTGAAGCTGGGTCAGAGAGAGCTGGGAGATGTAGTGGGGACTATCCACTAAGCGGTGAAGCCAGGCAAGGCACAGAGAGGAGCTAAGGAGAGAGAGAGGCTCACAGGGTGAGTGAGAGAACCAAATGCCCGGAGCATGTGTCTCTGCTGTCCAGGACACAGTCTGTCCTCTTTTTTTTTTTTTCCTGCAGTACTGGGGTTTGAACTCAGAGCCTCACTCTTGCTAGGTAGGCACTCTACCACTTGAGCCACTCTGCCAGTCCCACTTTTTTTTTTTTTAAATGTTGGGTATTTTTGAGATATAATCTTGCAACTATTTGCCTGGGCTGGCTGTGAATCTCAATCATCCTGATCTCTTCCTTCTAAGTAGCTAAGATTACAGGTGTGAGCCACTGGCACCCAGAACAGTCTGTCCTCTTAACATGTCAGTCTGTGTTCAACAAGAGTCACTGTATCATCTGTGTGCCATTTAAAATCCCCTTGGCCATCTTCCCAGGCAAAGCAGTCTTTTGCAGAAATGCTGATAATAGGCCAAATCGCCTGAAGCCATTCAAGGAGCCAATCGATCATGTCTGCACCTCTCCAGAAGCTGGGCACTGAGATCCAGCTCCACTGCGCACCCAGGAAGGCACACAGCCCAGGGCAAAATTAACACCCAAGCTCTCAAGGAATGTGTCCCACAGATGTGAGAAGCCACCAGTCCAAAAGCACCAATGTGTGCCCAAGTCTCACCTTGTGTAGTGAATATCCAGACTCAAAGATGATCGGTGGGAGCAAGAGCAGGAAAAACATATTTGGACGGAATGTCTCTTCCTCCTGCAAATTTAACATACAACTAAGATATCAACTTATCGATGAAGAGCAGAAATAACTCTTATTTCTTCTTGCCCAGCAGAAATGCATGATGTTTAAATGACTATATGATAATAAAACCAAGGGGAGAGAGAGTGCAAAAACAAACAAAAACTTTACAGTGGTAAAATGCAGAACAAGCGATTTTAAAGGGTGACTGGCAAAAGAAATAGCACAATGAACTACTTCCAAATACAGTGGTATGCTTTTTATTCCTTATTAAGGAAATTAATTTTAATATAGTAAATTTCAATTCGGATACAAGAGTTTCAAAAATATATCCACAAATTGGGGCCTTTCAGGGAAATGGCCTGTAATACCAGCACTTGGGAGGCAGAGGCAGGACTGTGAGTTTGAGGGCATACATAGCAAGACCCTGCCGGTTGCAAACAAGCAAAACACAGCCCTGCCTTCTAAAGAGCCTTGCCTCTTTCTGCATGTTGTGTTCTGCAGGAACACATGGCCATGCTCCTCTGCCAGTCCCACTTGATGCCCTGTAACCTGGGAGGTGGCAATGAACCCTCACCAGGCTTTCAGACTAGAATATGAATTGACTTTATGAAAGGTGATCTAGACAACAGCTATCTTTGGGGGAAGAAATAGTGGAACCTTATTGTCTGTACTAACATATCTCTTTCCTTGTTGGTGGGATTTAGGGGAGATATGTATGGGCCTCAAGTCCAAAATGGCTACTGTAATCCTGACACTATTCAATGCTGCAAACTCAGGCCCTCTTCCTATCACTATTTCCATGTCACAATTGTAACAATTTGATTTCTGGTCAAAACTTGCATTCAAAAGAAAGACTACAAGTATTCTTTTTTTGTTCTTTTGACTATATGTATTCTTACAGATGTTCAGCTGTTTCCATAAGGACTGAAATAACATTTTAAATAGGCTCGGAATAGAAGCAAATGATGACTTCTGAAAATACCCTATTAAGTCTTAAAATAGCAGCACTACCCAGAGCTCATGACTCAGACTGAGCCACTGAAAAAGAAATGGGCTGCATACTATGCCTGGAGGGCAGCCTGTTCCCAGGACCCGCTCCGTGGGAGGTTGTACAGGTTCCTTCAGAGATTCGAACTAAGCCCTCTGGGAAAAGGGAGAAGCCACCTGTAGTAGGGATGCATGGCCACCCCCTCCCCTTCACGCCCTCCAGGAACCTCAGTGCCCTAACTTGGAGATGGAGTCTTTGCAGGCGTAGAATAAGGACTGTGGTAAAGTAGGGATGGACATGAGATGACACTGGTCTGGGGTGGGCCCTAAACCCAAAGCAAGTGTACTTGTAAGAGTCAGAAAAGGACACAGGGATTCATGGGGAAGATGCATGGAGGCAAAGGCAGATCTGGGAGCGATGCCTGCCACCTGAACCCTTTAGCAGCCAGAAGGTGAAGAAGACCGAAAGGGATCACAGTCCTGCCACTGCCTCCCAAGTGCTGGCATTAAGGCCATTTTCCTAAAAGGCTCAAATTCGTGGATATATTTTTGAAACTCTTGTATCCAAATTGAAATTTACTATATTAAAATTAATTTCCTTAATAAGGAATAAAAAGCATACAACTGTATTTGGAAGCAGCCCTTTTGACACTTTCTCAGCTTCTGGCCTCTAGACTGTGAGGGAAGAAATCTTCATGGATTTAAGCCACCCAGTGAGCGGCAGGAAGTTTGTCATGTGGCAAATATGCCACTTACAGAGAAGTGATGTCTCAGAAAGGTCCCAGCTCCTTTGGGCAGTGTCTCAGGTGATTTTAGGTGTGTCCAACACCACTGCCAAGCAGATTGAGATCAGCCCCCGTATTGTCCTTTTCAGTCCGAATAAGCCAAGGAGGACACCTTGCCTAGAGCTGTCATGGCCAGACCCTCTCTGTACTGTGCTCTTTTGGACACAGGCAGCAACTGAATCCCAGAGGCTTTGTTTTTATTACACTTATGTATAAAAACAATTTGGGAGCATGGGGTGTAGCTCAGTGTAGAACACACGCTTAGCATGCTCAGGGTGGTGAGTTTTATCTCCAGCACCAAACAAAACCAGCTAAACAACCAAACACATATATACATGGAAATGTCACAATGAAACCCAATCAAAAAACAAAAGGGCTAGTGGAGAGGCTCAAGGTATAGGCCCTGAGTTCAAGCCTCAGTACTGCAAAAAAATGAAATTCTGACACGTGTTACAACATGAATGAACCTGAACCTGGAAAACATTATGGTAATTAATAAGCCAGACAATGAAGGACAAACTGGCACAACCGTACTTATGCGGGGAACCATAGACAGAAAGTAGGTAGAAGTTAATTTACCTGGGCTGGGGGGAGGGGAGCAGAGAACTGTTTAAATAGGGACACAGTTTTTGTGATGATGAAAAGTTCTGGAACTAGAGTAATGATGGGTATATAACACTGAATACATTTAATGTCACAGAACGGTATGCTGGAAAAGGGCCACAATGACAAATTTGGTTATATATGTTTTATTATTAGATATTTTTAAAAACTTCTGAACATATAAACACATGAGAAAGCAAATTGATATAAAGAAAAATATTGGCTGGGGTGGAGCTCAGTGTACAGAGCCTACCTAGCATACGCAGGACCCTGGGTTCCATCACAGTACATAAAAAAAAAAAAAAATAGGGAGCTGATGACAGTGTAGATAGAAGGCAGACCCAGCAGGGCAGTTTGGAAACAGAACTTCACGGAAGAAAAGACCAGGCTCCATGGCTCCCTGTGTGCCTGGGGTTTCCCGACTGCTGTCCTACTTCCCACTCTGACTTCCCACAGGTGCCCGCTCCTCCAAGACACCTGCCCAGCTATCCACCCTAGGAACCTCACCTTGTCTAAGGTTAGCCGCTGGCTGCCAGGATGGCTCTTTCAGCATTTAATCCCATCCATCACCAACTCAGCTCAGCTGTCTACACTGCCAAATGCATTACTATCATTTTATGTTGGATAGTAACACCTCCTGGGAAATAAATTCACTAATCCTGCAGTATATAAAACAAAAACTAAAGGCAACCTCCTCTCCCCCTACGCTACTATCTAGAGCAGAGGTGGAAAAGACAAAGGTTTCCTAAGGCTGCACTGCACAACTTCACATAGGAGATGTCACTGTGGCAGCTGACCTGACTGCTGGCTGTGTGTTAAGACTTTCTGCTTTTCTAGAGAAGGCAGAAATTCACATTTTATGTGAAATCTCCAGAATTTTACATAAATTAATAATATTTAAAAATCAAACTAACAATATTTAACTGTTTTAAAAATCAATTCAAGCTGGTGGCTCACGCCTGTAATCCTAGCTGTTCAGGAGGCAGAGATCAGGAGGATTAGGATTCAAGGCCAGCCCAGCAAACAGCTCGAGAGTGGTGGAGGGGCTCAAGTGGTAGAGCTTCTGAGTTCAAACTCCAGTTCCACAAAACCAAAAGCAAAATCAAGTGGTAGAGCATCTGCCTAGCAAGCATGAATCCCTAAGTTCAAACCCTAGTACTGCCAATAAATAAATATCAATTCAAATTTTGGTCAATTAATTTTAACTTAAATAAAATGGGTCAGTGGGTGACGTGTGCACATCAGTCCAGAGGTAGAGGGCTTCCAGCATGTGGCCCTGGCCTTAGGAGGGACCCTGTCATGGCTCACTTTAACCAAGGTGCACCAGGTAGAGACAGTGTGTTCCTCCCGCCCCTTCCCTCTGTCCCTCTCCCATGAGGAGAGGTCCATAAATACCAGGCCTCAATACACACTTAGAATGCTTGTCACAGATAAAATATTTCCTGGATAATGTCATTTGTTTCTTGAATATTATTTTAAGTTTCAAATTGTGTTTCAGGATAGACTATAAAGCTCATTTTGCAAATTTTATAGTCAACAGTTTCTCAGGGAAGTTAATATGAGCACCTAGGCACTGTGTTACAGTAGGAGGGCTCCAATGTGGTAAGCTGAAACCACACAATTCCCTCAAAATTGACCTAATTTCCTCCACAAAATCAACTTTGTAACATACCCATTAATCTCTCTCTACTCAACATGGATGTTCAAGTTTAGGCTGAAATTTGTCCTTGTACCCAAGATAATGCTCCCATCCTGACAATCGCCAGGTAAACACAGGAAGTGGACAGTAGGTACAATCTGGGTGGTGGTATGGGGCAGAGGGACTGAAGGCAAGACCAACTCAGCCACTCTCTAGTTCTGACACTGGATGTTCCTGGCCTCTCTGGGTGCACTTTCCTCATCTGTACACGAGGTGGTAATTCACCTCCAGTGTTGCCGAGATGCCAGCAGGGCTAAAGCACAGAAAGCTGAGCGAGTTCCACAGTGCTGGGCAGATGTGGCCTGTCGCCCTCTGCAGTCAGGATGGACTGGAGCACTGACCACTGCTTAATGTTCAATGCTAATTGGTCTCCTTCAGTAGCAGGACAGTCTAGGATTATAAAGATGGAAGAAACAATGTAACATGATCCCAGTGTCCCCCCCACTTGAAACAGTGTAAGATTTATGCTTTTTCCAAAAACTCAAAGTAGAGGTCTCACCGTGAATCTACAGAATGTTTAATGACTTTTAGTGGTAGAACGCCTGCCTAGCAAGCACAAGGCCTTGAGTTCAATCCCCAATACCAAGGAGGTGGAGGGGTGTGACCAATGGGACAATATAAACCACTTCACTGACAGTCGAGAGATGATAAAGCCAGCGGATGCTTAATGCTAAGAAAATTAATGACAACCAAAAATTGTGATGATGCTACAAAATGAACAGGTGGGCAAACCTACCTTCCAATTTGCCAGTTTTTTAAATTCTATTATTTTTATAACTGCTCCCATGAGAATACCTAGAAGAGAAAACGTAAAGCTTAACATAAATTCAAGCTGTGACAAAAATGACCCAGGATTATTATTCTAGAGAAACTAAGTATTACTCATTTGATCTGTAAGTGGTTTTCATGGAGTTTGCAAACTTTATGTCTGAAAACACAATGGGAATTAGTGTGAAGTGTTAAGATTCACATGAGTTTCTTACATCTCAGACAAACACTATGATGAAGTCTACAGAAATCTGGGAGTGGGGGTAGGGGGAGCCTTACAAGGCCACTTAGCCGGGCATGGACGATGTGACACCTCTTTTTCTATGTCCACCCATTTTCAAAGTGAAATGACGAAGCTTATAAGCCAAGCTTGCTCTGTGTTTATTCCTACCATTAAAAAGGAGAATGAACCCAAAAGCTGGGCATGGTGGTATATAGCTGTAATCCCAGCACTCAGGAGGCTAAAGCTGGAAAATCACAAGTTCAAGGCCAGCCTCTACTTAGTGAAACCCTGTCTCAAAAAAACAAAACAAAATCTAAGATCACTTTCTTGGATTCAGATGGCAGCTCTAAGTTGAATATTCAGTTAGAAATAAAACCCAAAGGCTGAAAATAACCCAAAGTAAGAGTTGTGTGAAGTTCCTGGAAGAAAATAAACCATCTGAGTTCAGCATGTTTCTATGAAGTGGACAGGCTCATCTTTCTCACCTAAAGCACCCACCAAAAAGGATTCCCCAAGCAGCATGGCGGGCACAATTTATGACTACAGGCCCACTTGCTAGATAAACGATTCTCTTATCTGCTGGTTCATCAGAACCAAAGAGCTTTGCATAAAGTAAACACGTGCAGGCAGGACACACAAAATCACAACCTCTGGAGAGAGGGGTGACACCAAGCAAGCTGCAGATGGCTGCCATCTGCCATCTTGGGCACCAACAGGGGCCCAAGAAGTGCATCTTACTGGGTGGGGGAGATAATACTAAAACACAGAAGATTATCAGGAAAAGGACACACAACTGCTATATGTGTGTTGGGGGTAGTTTGAAATGAATGGGGAATTTTAACTATATAAGTCAACACTATTTAAACATTAAACAACAATAAAACTATTTTGACAAAAAGAAAGGGACCAAGACAAATGCAGCCAGGCTGTAACGGGGACATGAGTGTATTTTCAAGGCCAGCGGTGGTACATTCACCTGCCTGGCAGTGGGGATGCTGATATCAAGTCGGCTCCTGTTCGGGTGCCTCCATACCTCCTGTTTTCTCGTTTTTTTTAAACTAGGTATAAGGCTTTAAGGAGTTTTAAAACTTTTTATTGGCCAAAAACTTACAAATACTATGCAAAATGTTGTGAGTAAGAAAAAAGTCTCTTTGATCGTACCCCATCCCACTCCCATCTTTGTTCTCTCTGTTCTCCCTGACAGTAATGAACCACCATGGTAAGTTTGGGAAATACTGTACCATCCTTCTCCATCTTATAATTTTATAAACAGCCATACAGTTCTGGCCTGATATGTGCCTGCACATGAATGGTGCTCCCGAGGGTACCTGTTTATGAAGTTTATGATGACCTAAGGTATCACTTTACAACTTGGATTTTGCTCAGTGTTATGTCTTAAGAGATGGAGTCAGAGATTGTTACATAACAAGCTGCCCCAAATCCTTTGACCAGATCAATACACGATGTGGAATAGGTATGTCTCCAAAGAAGACACACAAGTGGCCAAAAACCATGAGCAGATGCCCAGCATCCTACATCATTACAGAAGGACATATCAAAACCACAATGAGGTATACTTCCTACCACTAGGATGGCTAGAATAACAGTAATAAAAAAAGGAAGACAACAAGTGTTGGCAAGGACTTGCAACCCTTATATAGGACCAATAAAATTTACAGGTGGCTCCCACCTGTAATCCTAGCTACTTGGGAGGCCGAGATCAGGAGGATCATGGTTCGAAGCCAGCCCAAACAAACAGTTCGAGAGACCCTATCTTGAAAATATTCAACACAAAAAAAGTGGCTCAAAGGTGGAGCACCTGCCTAGCAAGTGTGAAGTCCTGAGTTCAAATTCCAGTACTGCCAAAAAAAAAAAAGTTAAAGTTACCAAAGGACCCAGCAGTTCTTCCCAAGACAGTTGAAAACGGTTGTACAGAAATTTGCACACGAATGTTCGTAACAGGAAAAGGTGGGGAAATCTCGATTATTCAGTAATGGATAAACAAATGTGGTATAGCCATACAAAGGCATATTATTCAGCAATGAAAATGAAGTTTTGACAGATGCCAGAACATGGGCCCATCTTGGAAATATGCTAAGTGAAAGAAGCCAGAAATAAATGACTACATTTTTAACCATTCTATTTGTATGAAATTTCCAGAACAGGCAAATCTAGAAAGACAGAAATGGTTGTCCAGGTCTAGGGAAGAGGTTTGGGGATGGTCACTAAAGAGTATGGGAGTGGGGGGGCTCCTGCTCAGGTGATGAAAACGTTCTCAAATGAATTACAAAGACAGTTGTGCCACTGTGAATATACTAAAAGCCACTGCGCTGTACATGTGTTATATGTATCTCAATAAAAATGCTGCAAAAAGTCACAAATTAATTCCATGTATCTGAAACATCCAGAAGAGGCAACCTTATAGGACAGAAAGCAGATCTGTGGTTCCCAGGGATGTGGGAACCCTATCCTATGGGGATAGGGTTTCTTTTTCAGATGATGAAAATATACTGTAATTAGAGGTGACAAGCTACAAAACCCTGAATTAACTAAAAGTCACTGAGCTGCACACTTTCAAACGGTGACATTTATGATTTGTGAATTATATTCCAGTTTTTAAACAAGTCACAGTCTTTTGAACCATCCCCCCACCGACAGTCAACCATCTGCTGTAAGAGCCCTACTTCATGGGGATGTCTGCACGTGCCACCCAATCTAAGAGTGTGTCCCTAGGGCACCTGCAGAGACTATGAATGGCTGGAATGTAAGGGTGGCCATTTTTATCTCTTCAGTGTTACCTCAAAGTGGCCGCACCCCTTCACACCTCCACAGTTTTGCCAAGGCTGCACACGGGCAATCATCTGTTAACATTTCTGCCTGTGTGAGGGGCAAGACACTGGACCTCAGCGTCGCGATTTGTGCTTGCAGTCAGATGGGCCTCTGTCCGTGGTGACTGGTTTCATTTTTAAAGTGGGTATTTTTTCTGCTCTGCTAAACCTTACCTTTCCTCTCCCTTTGCAGATGCAGACACTGCACAGATACACGTAACTACATGCAAAGCAGTTACATCTGAAAACCAGTGACTGTTCTATTGTTCAAGCCTATGGCCACATTATCATCTGTAAGGTGCTAAAAAGCTTTGTGAAATATGGCACAGTGCTGTTAGCATTATCACCTGGAAATCCATTAGGGACTTGTCCCAGGACTAAACTATGTGCAGCATTAAGTTAGCAAATGTGCACTTTGCTTCTTGAGACTGAGATACAAAGTAGGTTAAAATGATCAAAATTCATTTCTCTCTCTCCCTCCCTCCTTCCCTACCTTCCTCCTTCCCTTCCTTCTTGGTACTGAAGTTTGAACTCTGGGCCTCAAGCTTGCTAGGCAGGCACTGTACCATTTAAGCCACTCTGCCAGCCCCAGGGAAAATTAATTTCTATCACACCATTGGCCACCAGATGGAAATAATCCCTAGTGTATATTCCTATCAGTAAAAAGAACTGAATAGTGCACCCTCATTTCAAATTTTTATTAATTTTATGAAAATGCTACTGTACTATATTTTTTGCTTTTGTTTCTGTTTTGAGATAGGGTCTTGCTACATTACTGGGACTATAGGCATGAAACATTGTGCTCAATTCTGTCCTATTTTAAAATATACACAAAAATTCAAAAATTACAAAAGAATGAGATTAAAAATAAATAGAATCATGTCAGGTGCTGGTGGCTTACACTTCTAATCCTAGCTACTCAGGAGGCACAGATCAGGAGGACTGCAGTTCAAAGCCAGCCACCCCAGGGAAATAGTTCTTGAGACCCTATCTCAAAAACACTCAACACAAAACAGGGCTGGCAGAGTGCTTCAAATGGTAGAGCAGTACCTGCCTAGCAAGCCCCAGTACTAAGGAAAAAATATATTTATCTATATTTATATAGATATAGATAGAGATAAAAGCAGGGTAATAGTAAGAGTCTATTGCTCTGTGGCCCTGTGGCAAGGTGGTTTGCATGCAGCGCTGAGAAGGCTCCCAAGGCTCAGAAAGCAGCAGTCCTCTGAGATGAAACAGATCTCTGCCAGGAAGGCATGAGAAAGTATGGAGAAGAAGCAGGCGAGCAGGAACTGATTCCACGGGACTGGCAAGACCACAAGGGAGCTGGCAAAGGGTCAGCTCAGCATCACTGAGCAGCCTGCGGCTGGTTAACAGCAGCAAGTGCTCTTGCAGCAATGGGGGATGATGGAATTCGTGAACTACAGGACAAAATGCCAACACTTAGCCAGCAAAGGAAAGGCGCCCAGTGAGGCTTGACCTGCAGGAACAGGTGGAGTCCCCTGCTCAATGCTTATCATCACAAAGGATCAAGAAAGGAGGCTAAGAAAGTTGGGTCAGTCATCCCAGGGGGAAAGTGCAATCTCTTGCCTTATTTCCCAACTTCAGTCAGTTCTTAGACCCAGAAGACAGAGTAAAAGGAAAGCCAGGTCCGTAAAGAAGGATGCTGAGAAACTGGAGCAGGTAAACCAGTGATGACGGCCACTCCTTCCCTAGAGAGCCCCACAGTGGCTCTGGGGAGGTCATAACATCCCCACTAAGGAAAGGACAACAAATAGCACCTCTGCTTCTAGCACTAAGAAAGGGGACATCAAATGACCACTCAGCTAGAAATGCTCTTCATAAGCTGAGTGGTCATACCTGCCAAGTTCTCAGGCCAGGTGGGTCCAGCAGCAAACCACTGTAAAACTTAAGTGTTGCATAGAGGTAAGCCCTGTGTAGGTCTAGAGGCACAGATAGGCTGTGTGAACAGGTGGCCCAGACTCCTGCGTCATCTACCACTGTTAACTTCAACACTTCTCCCTCACCTCCTACGTACAGCATCATTGCGAGGTTTTTTTGTTCGTTCACAGTTCTGGGGATTGAAACCAGGGCCTTCCATGTGCTAGGCAAGTACTCTGCCAATTGTGCTATGCCCTCAGCCCAGGGCAAGACTTCCTCCCATCCCATGTCAGCCACACGATCTGCCACATCAATGAAGAAATGCATGTTGAGGACGGGGAGCTTTGGCAAACCCCCAGCCATTCTACTCCATCCTCAATTCTGAAGTGATGACCTAGAGTTCATCCTACCAATTCTGGTGCCAGAGAGAAGAGGCAGCCATCTTCACCACATGACTGCTGAGATAAGAGCTTGCTCACCAGCCATAGATCCTGCCAGAGAGTGAAGCCCAACATGGAGTTGAGAAATGGAGAACTGATTCCAAAAGCCTTGACCCTGATCAGTCAGAAGCCAGCATTACCTGTGGTTTTTTGGTTACCTGAGCTAGTATGTGTACAGCCCCATCCCCACCAATTAGAGTGCACTTAAATTGAGTTTTTTTCCTTCGAATGGTATGGTTCTGTATTAAGATGCTTTTAGCTATAAGTAAAAGAACACATATTAAAAGGGCTTAAACAATAGGTGTTTATTATCTCATACAACAGCACTGATATAATGGGTGCTTAGAAACTGCTTTTTCTAAATGGCACTGACTCCCTTCTTGGGCACGAAAGTTAGCCAAAAGCAGGGTAAAGAAACCTGACATCCTTGCCTCCATTTTGCCTCTGTCTCTTGCTCTGAGTTTCTCTCTCCCTTGTAGTCACTCTAGATACCAGAATGACAAGACTGATTAATAACACCTTTATGACAAGGGACTGAAACTACCCCCAAAGAATGAATCAGCAGAGCCTAGAGGACAGACCACCCTCCAAATGAGGACAGTTACCTACAGTGTTGAGGCTGCACCTGAAGCAGAACAAAACATCTCATGGGAATCAGGTTATTCCTTTCAAGTGACGAGAGCAATAACACCTCCAGAATCCCTGCAGAACCAGAACTGAGATAATCAACCAGACCACACTTTGCCTAGGACTACCCACAATTCTTCCTCTATTTAAATGTAAAGCTCATGTCAGTGACCCAAAGGTGGGCTCAAATGGTTACTCTCCCTCTTTCCCCAATGTGCCTGTGATGTAAACAAATAAAAAATTAAAAAAAAAAGAATTACCCTTTTAATTTCCATGTGCACCACACTTAAAAAAACACTAACTGTAATTTTTATAATTAAGAAACTGTGAAACTGACCACAAACTGTAAATTCCATGAAGTAGTTTTTTAGGCCTTTACCGAATGCCCCAGGAGTGGGTCTTGTTAGCTGAGGATGAGGAATACGAGAAATGGAGAACAAGGACCCTGAGGAAAACTGGCTTCCAACTCTGTACTTAAGATCAATATAGCCAGCAGTGCCTGTTCCCTAAAATATATGTTGCCTGGAGGCTTTGGGCTTAAAAGAGACGGGAGCATGACCACTCACAGGCCCGAACCTGGCACTTAGCAGTGCTGGGAGGAGCAGGGAAAACATAGGGGCTCTGGAGCAGGACAGCAGGAATGCAGGTGGTGAGAGGGAAGCAGAGGCCGATGAACAGTCTGAATATTCTCTCCCAAGACTAACCTAAACCACAGCTGTGCTGTGAAGGAATTATCACCCAGTAAACAAGATCAACAAGACAGAGCAAATCACCGTAGAAACCGCCAGTGGTGATAGGGAAAACCAAGTGCCAGCAGGCAAGTGGAAACTAGTAAGAGTAACCATGACATAATAAACTCACGAGAGCCCTGGGTGACCTTAGGAAAACTGGTTACTGTGCCTTAAACATCCCTACCATGTTTTAGCCTTAAATTTATTTTATTTTAATTAATTTATTTATTTGAGTGAAAGAGCAGCAGTTTATCAAGCAGAGAAGAAAAGTCTCCTTACAGGAAGGATCTCAGGTTGAGCCCTAGCCTAAAATTTAATACCACTTAAAGTCCCTGTTTCAGGCTGGGGATGTAGCTCAGTGACAGAGTACTTGCCTAGCATTTGGAAGGGCCTAGGTTCCATCCCCAGCATCACAAACAAAACAAAACAAAACCCTCAAAACCCAAACCAAAATAACTGGACTTCTACAGCATGGTATAGTGGCACATACCTGTAATCCCAGCACCCAGGAGGCTGAGGCAGGAGGATTTTGAGTTTGAGGCCGGCATGGGCTAGGTAGTGTGACCCTGCCTCAAAAAAACAAAACCAGGGCTGACAGAGTAGCTCAAGTGGTTGAGCATCTGCCTAGCAAGTATGAAGCCCTGAGTTTAAACTCCAGCACCACCAAAAAAATAATAATATTATTGAAAAAAGAAAAAAAAACCAAACCCAAATCAGAAAATAGAAAAAAGTCCCTGCTTCTTCCTTCACTGACCACTTCAACCCCACATAGGTGTTCATGCCTATTATTACCTGGATCCATGCCAAGTAGCTAGAAGTTAATTATCTAACAACTTTACAGGAAATGAAAGAGAAAATAAGTGAGGTAGAATGGAATGCTCTCTGAGGAATCTAGATCTGACACTAAGAGAGCCATTTCTCCCCACTAAACTGTAAAGTCAGACTCCCTTTTGATTCTATAAGCTAAGAGTCAATGACTTGCCTTGGTTGAGTTACATATCAGCAGCAGAGATCAAGGTGCCCCAAGGTGGTGAGAAGTCAAAGGCCTCAGAGATGAACTTGCACATGACCTTTAGGAGGTCAGCCCCTTTCTCTGCACCCTAGTGTCCTCATCTGTGAGGTGAAATCATGCCCCGTGGTGTGCTGCAGTTCAGGTGTCAAGGGGGCACTGGCAGCGATGGTGGGCACTGTGACATGTCAATGTAGGACCACCAACAGCACTTACCTAGAGAAACAACGGCAACACTCTCAGGCAAGAAGTGCAGTCTGTACCGGATCAGCAAATGCACCAATATGATGCAGATGGCTGTGGGAAAACACAAGACTCTGTTTACAAAGCCCAGTTTTGAATAATAAAAACCAAGCTCAAGACAGTGGTCATCTGGGAGGAAGGGAGCAGAACAACAGGTAATTGTCAATGACCCAGAGCTGTCTTTCTTTTCTTTTCTTTTTTTTTGGTGGTACTGGAGCTTGAACTCAGGGCCTACTCCTTGAGCCACTCCACCAGCCCTTTTTTGTGATGGTTTTTTTTGAGTTAGGGTCTCGTGGAACTATTTGCCCAGGCTGGCTTTGAACCCAGACCCTCCTGATCTCTGCCTCCTGAGTAGCTAGGATTACAGGCGTGAGCCACCTGTGCCCAGCACTGTCTTATTTCGTAACACGTTTCTCACATTTTCTCTGGGTCTTTGTATGCCTGGACTACTTTGTTTTTCAGTGGTTAACTTTTTAACCACTGTAAAAGCTGTAAAACCTTGTACGGACATTTAATACTCAAACTTTGCTGATTATGAGAAATGATCTGACTCTTTTGAAACATTTATCAGCTGGAAAACTCTAAGCAGTGAAGAGGTCAACGAAACCGCTTTTACACAAATAGACTGCAACAGATTATGCAGACATACAGTGTTTTGTTACCATGTGACAGCTCTCTTTTATCATAGAAGGAAGGGTGTTTTACAAACAGAAAAAAGTAAATCCTTTGGTTTGGTGACAAGAAAATCAAAAAAGATTTGAAGGTGTGACACTCCTTCCCCCCAGCTGGCTTCAGCAGTCCCTCAGAAGCCAGCACTATGCTGCACATATCCCAAACACTGTCTTCTTTCACCCCTGGTGCCCTCTCAACTGGCTGTCAGATCCATTCTCTCCTTTGCTTGTACGTGGGAACAGGTAGGCTTAGAATGCTGCACCACCTGTCAGCGCTGAGCACTGAATCTGACCCCAGCCCTGTGATCTGAAACATGGTACACTGGACCATCTCCCTTTGGGCTACTGCCAGCAGTCCTCGACCTCAAAAGGGAATAATGCCTGATTGTCCCCACAGGACCCAGGGATTCCATCATCAAAGAAGATGCACAAAGAAGTAATTCTGGAAAAAAAAATACTTCCACATAAATAATTGCAAATGAAATCCCACAGCCCTAATGTTAATATGCATGTCTCTTTTTATTGGGCACCTACCTACTGGCCATCAATTACATCTCATTAGGCACAGTATTGTCTTAATGGTACTAAAAATAATTTCATTTTTAAGGGAATATTTAAACAATGTGCATAGCTGTCAACCAGCCACCCTCAGAGCCCCACAAATTCTCTCTTCAATCCCACCAAAAAGCACCAGGTGGCCAGAGAAAGGAACAGTTGTAAATAAAGAAATCTTGTCCTCTTTTCATTCTGTGCTTTAAACTATCAATCTGTGATGTTCTTTTAATATAAATATTTAACCCAGTTAGAAAATCCTACATTAAATACTAAGACCATGAAAAAAGTCCCAATACACAGGATGGCTAATGAGCCCACTGCCTAGAAAAATTAAATAAAAAGAAAAAAAAAAGTCACACCTGAGGAGCAAATAAGCAGACAGAAAACTGAATTCGTTTCTGCTCTTTGCATCAAGCTAGATTGTAAAAAATTTATTTGAAAAATTATTATCAGACATAAGCAACTATTTACAAGTATAAGAGCAAAAGGAAAGCTGTCCATCAGTAGGGACAATGCTGGTAAAGACTCTCAGCCACTAAATCAATGCTCTCATCAATGCTGGTAAAGACTCTCAGCCACTAAACAGAGGAAGGTCCAAAGCACAGTCTGCAGAAAGGGGGAGAGTATTTGTGAATCCTGTCTGACAGGGTCTAGAACCTAAATACATAAAGTCTTACAGTTCACTGACAAAGAGACAACACAATTTAAAAGCGGGCAAAGGGCCTGACAGACATTTCTCCAGAAGAGAAACACAATGGCTAATAAACCCATGAAACCACTCAACATCAGTAGTGACAGGGAAGTGCAAATCAAGAGCACAATGAGGTGCGACTTCACACTCACTAGGATGGCTGTAATTAAAAACAGCAACAATAGAAACCCTTGTAAAACAGTGCAGGTTCTGTGGAAACCAGTTGGGCAGTTCCTGAGAGACTTAAACAGAGCAACCATTCCTCTGACAATCCAATCCCAGGTCAATATATATCCAAGAGAAATCAAAGTTCACTTCTACACCAAAACCTGCACACCAACTTTCACAGCAGCATGTCACAACAGCCAAGAGGTGGAAACAGCCAGTGTCCATCAACTGATGCAGGAAGGACCATATGCAGGCATGCACACAGTGGACTAGAACTTGGTCATAAGATGAATTCTAACACAAGCTACCACATGCATGGACCTTGAAGACGTTACACGAAGTGAATAAGCAAGTACAAAAGCCACACTGTATGATTTTATTTATAGGAAATATTCTGCACAGGCAAATTCCTAGAGACAGAAAGCAGAACTGTGGTTGCTAGAGGGAGGGGGTGATGGAAATGTTCTGGAAATAGACAGTGGTGATGGTACACACACCACACTGTGAATACAGTTAACACCACTGGATTGTATTCTTTAAAATTATTTAAATGTAAGTTTTAGCCAGGTGCTTGTGGCTCACGCCTGTAATCCTAGCTACTCAGGAGGCAGAGATCAGGAAGATCACACTTTGAAGCCAGCCCAGGGAAAACAGTTCTCGAGACCCTATCTCGAAAAAAACCCATAACCAAAAAGAGCTCCTGGAGTGGCTCAAGGTATAGGCCTAAGCTCAAACCCCCAATACTGCAAAAAAATAAAATAATTTCACAGTGACCACTTCCTCGTTCTCTTACCTAAGGCAGCCATGAAAACAACACCCCCTCTGAGTCCGGTGCTGTGCCATTCTCACGGGCAGCCTGTCATTAAACTTTGCCTGCTGGACATGACAGTCTCTCGTGAGCTTTCTTTTGCAAGTGGCGTTTTCCTAACCAAAAGGAAGTTTTACCTTTGTTTTACTACAATAAAAAATATGAGGTAGAGCTAGGAGTGGGGGTACAGCACTTGAGAGGTCAAGGCAGGAGAACTGCAAGTTTGAGGCCAGCTTGGGATATATATAGAGAGACACTGTCTAAAAAAACAAAGAATCACCAAGACATTCTGTGAGATGCAAAAGCAAGATATACAGATATACAACCCTGCAAGCCAGGTATGTAATGGCACTTATGTGCTTATGAATGTACATATGTACAGAAACACACAAGTGCATGTTTTCAAGTACTCTTGGGGGGGAAGAGAGTAAGAGCTAAAACCCTCTGTGTGGTAGGGAGGGTGTATACAGCATTCTTCATGCTGGAAATGATAATTATGGTAAATATATTAAAACACAGACGTGCCAACTTTAATAAGTCCATTAAGTTTAATGGCTCATAAAACGTGTGTGCCAGGTGATGTTAATTGTTAACTCTAAGGCAGTAACATGACTCAATGTTGCTTCTTGTGGAGTCAAAGATCAGCAAGGGTTAAATCCAAGCCCACTGATTTGAAGCGTCTAAAAGTCTAAAGTAACCTTAGCCAAGGGGACAAACTATACTACCATAACATCCTTACGGGACATTTACTGAAATTGCAAACGAAGATGACAAGCCCAGGTCAGGAGTTCCTGAGGTCTAACATAAATGCTGGACTAATTTCTTTCAATTAACTGCAGTCCACGTGCAGTATTTAAGAGTTACAAAGTTACCTTTCAACAGTATTTTTTTATATATAAGATTTATACTGTTTGGACATCTAATCAGAAACAAATGATCATAATATACAAAATCAGAGAGAAAAATGCCTTTGAAATTACTTAAAAAGGTAGCATCAGGGCCCACTTGGGCAGCACATATACTAAAACTGAAACGATACAGATAAGATAAGCATGGCCCCTGAGCAAGGATGCCATGTAAATTTGTGATGCAGTCCATATTTAAAAAAAAAAGAAAAGCATCAGCTGGATGCCAGTGGCTCACACCTGTAATTCTAGCTACTTGGGAAGCTGAGATCAGGAGGGTCAAGGTTTGAAGCCAGCATGGGCAAATAGTTTGCTCAAAACCCTATTAACACAAAAAAAGGCTGGCAGAGTGGCTCAAGAGATAGAGCACCTGCCTAGCAATCATGAGGCCCTGAGTTCAAACCTCAGTGCTGCTGAAAAAAAAAAAATCAACATTCCACTTCACTCGTACACATAAGTGCACAGGCCAATGGATACATGAGGTAAACCCAATCTGTCCAACATCAGGGCGAATCTAGAGTCTACCTTCATGCTGTCTGAAGAGGAGACTATCGGAGAAACAAAACTTTATCAAGTACAGTTCGGCCCTTCTGGCCCCCAGCTGTACTAACCAACCCTGGGCAGACTTCCATTACTGAGGCCTGTTTCGTGGTCTGCAGCACAAGTTTATCTTAAATGCACACCACACCCTGAAAGTTACTCCGAACGTCTAGTTTATGTTTTTCAGAACCTTAGAAACAAGGACTACAAAAGTGTTTTCAGGCCTGCCTTTTATATTATCTAATTTAATGAGCTAATAACAATGTATTCTCTAATGTAATGAACTAATAACAATGTCTTCAGCCCTGCAGGAAGACTCTGGGTACTGGAGATTGCTTAATCAAGGAAAGAACTGCTTTCCTCTTTGTAGTCTACAAAACAAAAAGGCCTGAATTGCTGAGGTAATCCACTAGAAACAGAACTCAACTTCATGTACAGGGAAAAAATGACCGGGCTGTATTAAATCTACACAGGACAGGGAACATTTCTGATGTGTGCCCTTTCTCAGTATTTAGCTTAAAAGTTTTAAAAACTCAGGCCAGGCATGCCTATAATCCCAGCACTCCAAGGTCTAAGGTAAGAGGGTTGTGAGTTTGAGGACAGCCTAGGGAAGACCCTGCCTCAAAAATCCTAAATAAATAAATAAATACGAGACAAAGATTTCAAATAAAATTCAAACATTGTTAAAATTCTTTGACTATTTACCACAGTCTGAATACAAATGTGAAAGAAGTTATACTTTTTCTCAAAAACCAGTTGTGACAGACAGTATAGAAATATTCAAAATCCAGTTCCACCTTTTATTCCCCCAAAAGAGATAGTCTAATTTGAAAGTTTACTTTG